ATTCTCAAGGCTATGTCATTCTTTATGGGGTAGCTATGTATCTCCAAAGTGCACCAAATGTGTGCAAGGAGAAATTCATGGCAATCAGTTACACTTTTTGGCTGTTGCTCTTGACCTTCATGTGTCTGAGAAAGAATCTAAAACATTTTAAAAATGGCTTGTGCTGTTTGATCCCTGTCTGATAAAAGTAGTTTTTTTTTTTTTAGGGAAGCCTTCTTCATGAATGGAGATTAACATGCTCAGGTTCAGCAGAGCTTGGTGCTTTTTAGGCACAAGCAGAATCAATGGCACAAATTCCTTGTATGAGGTGCCTCCATGTTGCAGGAGAACACATTTGCCATACTGAAGAATTTGCACATCAGTCAGGAGGCCAGCTTTCACGCTTCAGAAGCGGCCTTTGGGCTGAGATCTGGGCGTCGCAGGCGACACATCTGGAAGCTGCCTGGCCTTGAGAAAGACGGATATACCCCAATACTGTTAGGACTGACTTGATCTCAATCTCTTGGTTTCAAGCAGGAGTTTTTCCAGCTTGTCACCTAGGGTGACAAAGTCACTTGAGACTTTCAAGAAGAGATTGGACTGCCATTTGTCAGAAATGGTTTAGGGCAGGGGTGTCCAACCTTGGCAACTTTAAGCCTGGAGGAGTTGAAGTCCTCCAGGCTTAAAGTTACCAAGGTTGGACACCCCTGGTTTAGGGTCTCACGCTTGGGGGGGGGGGTTGGACTAGATGACCTACAAGGTCCCTTCCAACTCTGATTATGTGTTATCATGGGTTGTTGAGAATGAACCTGGGCTAATGCATGCAAAACAAATCCTCTGCCATAAGATATGAGACTGCCCAACTTCTTCCGCGTAAGGATATTGGCAGTGCCCATTGATGGATCCGAACCCTGGCTCATTTGGTCTATCAATCTCTTCTCACGGTGGTCAACCATCTGCACGAGGAAGCCCATCAGTCCTTATTGGCAAATGGAAGCAATTTCAAAAAAATGCCTATGATTGGGAACTTGAACAGAGTGGGTGACATGATTGTTTGTATTGCTTTTTATTTGGGGCTGCCTTAGGATAGCTGTACAGGTAATCCTCGACCTGCACACTTTCTTTTAGTGACCAAAGTTACAACGGCCCTGAAAAAAAAAAAGATTTTTCGCACTTATGACTGTTGTAGCCCCGCCCGATCACATGATCAAAATCCAGAAGCTTGGCAACTGGCATGTATTTATGATGGTTACAGTGTTCCAGAGTCATATGATCACACTTTGTGACCTTCCAACTTGCAAAATCAGTGAAGATAGATTCCCTTTACAAGTGTGTTACTTAACAACCGCTGTGATTCACTTAACTGTGGCAAGAAAGGTTGTAAAATGGGACAAAACCAGAGGTGGTCTTCAGCAGGTTCTGACCAGTTCTGGAGAATCGGTAGTGGAAATTTTGAGTAGTCGGGAGAACCAGCAAATACCACCTCTGACTGGCCCCACCCCCATCTATTCTCTGCCTCCCGAGTCCCAGCTGATCAGCTGGGTCTTCTTTTGTTGCCCTGCACAGGAGAACGGAGCTGGAAAGCAGGTTAGTGGGGTGGGGAGGGAATGGGGATTTTGCAGTATCCTTCCCCTGCCACACCCACCAAGCCACGCCCACAGAACTGGTAATAACAAAATTTGAATCCCACCACTGGGCAAAACTCATTGTTACAACTGTCTTGCTTAGCAACAGAAATTTGGGCCCCAATTGTGGTCGTACGTCAAGGACTATCTGTATATAAGATAAGCAGCTGTATAAGTTGTATAACTAATTATATCATCGTGAGAAAACCAGCCCATTGGCTTTGATCAGATATAAAAGACAGATGAATACCTTCGGGCAAGAACAATAAGGGGGAAAATTCCTTGTGGGGGAAAAGTCTACCCATTATCCATTCTTCTCCACCACCACCACCACCCCCCGGAAAAGACTGAAAGCTTGTGAGCACACACATAAAATATTATTTTGAGAAGCCCCACTAGGAAAAAAATAAAAAAAAATACTTTAGGTTTGAACTGGGGGGAGAGGGAGAGAGAGTACAAAGGTAGAGGGGATGTGATCTTGTCACCAGCCTTGTACTGATAATCAAACCCACACAGGCATGAACAGAATAGACACACCAAAGCCTCAGAAGCCAAGTCTTTTGCTTGCAAACCAGTTTAGCATTGTACAAAAAGCTCACAAGTGTACAGTAAACACTCTTTTGTTGGAGATCCAGATGGCAATGGAAGTTTGCTTATTGCCATGCTGAAGAGGTTCAGCCATGGCACAATGTGAGTTGTCTGATTCTGGCAGATGCTGAATGAATCCACCCACTCTGGCTTCTTGACAAGCAGCAGCTGCCTTCTTTATAGCCAAGTAAGAAAAAAATGACAAGAAAAGGGAGCACATACGAAATTGGAATTCACAATTTGCTTTTTAATAAGTTTTTTTTTTTAATCGTAACAGGTTTTACAAAAAGATACACAGAAATAGAAAAAAGGAGTATCTAAACATATGACATATCCATCAAATAGTAAACATTTTAAAAATTCTAGATTAAAGAAAACAAATAATACCACATTGCTGTATGATATGAAATCTTTGCCAAAGAGAAACATATTGCATTATTTTGTTATCAGTAGTTGAAATAGCTTTTCCAAAACAGATTTTCATTTCAGGAATAAATACTACTCTTCAAATTCCTCAAAATGATTATCTTTCCAATACAGGCATAATTACTGAATAGTCAAATTCCAGAGATTTGGGACATAGTTTAACATTATAGTAACATCTTTAATATTACAATTTTTCCCATAAATCTACTCACAGTAATACATTATGCTAGAAAGATATCAGTTGCTTACAAGACCAAATTATGTGAGGCCCCCTCAAATTTTTACATTGTCATCCAAGAAAATCTGACATACATCTTTTCAAATACAATCTTTGGGGTACTCAGAATAGATGAATGAATTTGATGAATCAGTTTTAATCTTAATTCCAGTGAAATTGGTTTAACATTTTTAAGACATGAAACTATTGATATCCCATTATTGGATGTTCCACTTCTTTAGGCCATAATCTATACTGTTATTAATATCAATTTTGGAAATATTCTTTACTTTTTCAAACAAACACAATGTGGATTTAGTTCTGAATGTACTCCCTCAGAGATAGAAGCACCTCAGATTTCTCAGAAGCAGCCATAGCAAGTGGCCCACATTGACCCAGTCTTTGTTGATTATATTACTGCTTTTTAATACATAAATAAACCAAGGCTTGAAATACTCAGATTTTAGCACAATGGAAGCCATTGCTTTCATGGCTATTATGCATCCAGAACAAGCTCAAGAAGCTTCCCAGTTCAGAGGCAAAACCAGTTCCACAAAACCAATTCTTTATGGCCCTTTCCTTCCTACTAGGTTAAAATATTATCTAGCCTTCCTTGCATCGGCAGCAAAACATCCCATCATAAACCTGGCTGTGCAGAACCTCAATCCTATCTTGCCTGAGTTACATCATTTGTGATTCCCTATGATATTATATAATTCCGATTTTGGGGATTTGCACATTGCTGGAGGCAGGATGATCAGCTTTATCCTCTGGTTTTACAGTCATCCCCTTCAACACATCATCTGCCAGCGGGTAAATATGCATCATTTGCAGAACGGATGGGGGCGAGTCAGATGTTATTGTACCGTTCTGCAATATGGAGACTTTTGTCTGGGCCTCCTTAGTTTGCTTGTCTTCATCTCATTCACTTCATCTCACTCCCATCTCAATTTTTCAAAATAATATGAACTAAAGAGCCACATGGGAAGACAGCTCTGAATGATAAGCATGAGTGTTTCAAAAAAATCTAAAATTAACTATGCAACACATCAGATTTGATTCAGACTCTTCAGTTAAGACACACCCAAGGAGACAGCCAGGGCAGAAGGAAAGGGGAACAGACAAAAGGAAGGGAATGGCATAGGGATGAAAAGAACTGAAGAAACAAAATGCTATAGGAAAGAGCAATTGGGAGAGAAATTACTGTGGTGCCACCTGGTCATTCACCCTAAGGGCCATGAAGCACCTGCGCTTTCCAAAGAACAGCCCTGGTCACACATACAAAAGGTCACCTAACATTGTCTTCAAAATCATGGTTGACAAAACATTACAATTTTTTTTTTGACATCTTGAAGCATGCAGGGAACAATGTAAAATAGAGGAGGGAGAGCCTATTTATATTCCAGTACAAAATTGATGATTTAAGATTGTTTAAGAAAAAGAGAAGTGACATGAGTGTCATGTAACCAAGGAAGAAGATTGAGGTCATCAGGACGATATGATTCTGCTGTAAATTTCAAATGGAGAAATATCCAACGTTAATCCCTCAAGACCCTTGCTCACCTTCCTTAGCTCTGTTTTTTTCAATTTGGTACACTGTCATTTCTTCAGGAAGCTAGAAGCACCTTCAATCTGGCAATAGATAAGGACCGCAGAATCCTCATTCCAGTATCAGGAATTGTAATCAGAAAGCAGCTTGAAGACCAAACTTAACAGCCAGGCCGGATTTTTCAAAACTTTATAGTCTATAGTGGGTCAATCAGTCCCCAAATTTGTGCCTTCCTGGTTCCAAAAATCATACCAACCAAAAATTATAGAAGTTAGAAGTGGAGGGTATCCGGTTTGCAGGAAGGCAGACCTTTAAGTAAACTTCAGAAATTCCCATAAACGTTTTAGAAGCCATCTAATGTTGCTGGCTGTAAGTAATAGTGTGGCCTCATGGCGCCACCTAATGAACATTCAGGACAAGAAAGTTGATGGACCATAGGAATTTCATCTTGGAAAGAGAGGACACCCAGGTTTTCGGATGGCTAGAGGGCCCCAACTAGTAATATAAGGGTAATTCAAATGTTTTAAGTCCATTGAATGGATGTATATGATATTCAACTATCCCAGATGCGCCAGGTTGGAGGCCCAAAAGATTGCCTTTCTGCTCTTCCGATACTGCTTCCAACATGAGCATCACTCTCAAGCTTCAAATTGAATTTCCAATATGAATAAATAAAAAATATCCTGCCAGGTCTTTCCATCTTAATTGCTGCAACTAAGAAGTAGCTGAACTAGAATGGATGGAAATTGTTGCTTCTTGATGTGGAACCATTCTTTTAGACAAATAAGAAGTGGGGAAAGATGTGAAACCGTACTCTCTTCAGTTACATTTCAAAACTTTTACAACTTTTACATTCACATTTGCAGTAGTGGAATGGACTGGTTGGCTCAGTTCTACTTTATTGAATTTTTTTCTTATGCTATTCCTTAGGAGTGAGCTTATTAAATATGCATGTAAGTTACTTTATTTATTAATAGTAACCTGACTTCAGTTTGAATTTCTCATAAAAAGAAGCTATTTCTTTTGATTTCCCAGGACTTATGAAAAATTAGTGTGCACAGGAATCTGGCAAGGATCAAGTCAACTTTGTGGAGCCCTGCTCTGCATTTTCTATCTCCTTAAATTGCAAGAGCAGTAGAATAAACAGCATATGCTGTGACTAAAAGATTTATGATTGGCAACAAGCTGAAAAGTCTAGACTGCTGACCCAGGTTCACCATTTGAGAAAGAGCTTTATTTTTTAAAAATGATTATACAATACACAATTGGACAGCAAATTCAGGATGTGAACAGGAAAGAATTCCAGAGCTAATGAGAAAAGTGACTGATATTGCCTTTCCTATCTGACTTATCCTCATGATTACTAAGTCCAAATTTATCTCCCCTTTTCCTCTAGAGTAAGGCTGATTTTTACTTTTACATCCAGAATGTTCAAAGCAACCTACAAAATTTATTCATTTAATTTAATTCACTTCAAGCCTTTGTAAGGCTGACAAACGCATGTGGAATGCTGTGTGAATTTAATTGTGACTCTTCCATGAAGGCTGTTGTGGCATCAGATCTAATGACAAAACTCCAGGAGAAATGCATGTCCAGAAGTTTCTTCGATTGGTTTGTATATATGTGGAGTTGAGATCGGGATAAAACAAAACAGGACCACCACTCTCAATCCCCACTCTACCCTACAAAACAAACCTCAAATCTTTGAAAAGGCAGATAAGGCACGGACACCAGTTAATCCTTGAAAATGAAACTCTGAAAGACTTTATCTGCTGCTCCTCCCCTTTTCTATAGGGATCAAGATAAAGAGAGAACCCGGCTCCTGTTTGGGAGCTGCTTAGAGCATCTTCAGAGAAAGGGAGAGCTCCCCAGTTCAAAAAAACCACAATGGATGTACCAGACTGTAGATGAAATCCATTGCTTGGGACAGCAGCAAGTTTTTGGTACCCCCATTCAAAACCACCAGACATTCAAAACCATCTGTTATTGTTAGTGGCATATCTGTAGAGCAATGAAAGGGAACTGCACAAACTGTTGCAAACCTTTGAATTGCTCAGGAGCATTGTGTCGATAATCTTGGGCAAGTCCAGTCTCATTGTCCAATCAATTCTAGCATTTCCTCCTGATCAATTATTTTCTCCCGAGGCTTTCCGGCCAATTTGCCTCTTGCCACTTCAACAGCATCAATCTTCTCCCAATCCAAAAAGGAAACAGGTTGGACTCCTGTTAATTGGCAGAGAAAGGGGAAGTACAGATCAAAATCCAAATTAACCACACACACACATACACACACATACCTCAGAAGCCCTCGGCTATGCCGAGGCTTCCTCAGAATCAAATTCTGAATTAAAGACACGCTCTCCACACAAAGGACTAGGCAGACTCAAAAGTCCCAGTCAAATCAAATCACTTCGCCATTTCTGGGAAGTTTCTTCTAATAGCATCACTCTATCTATCTTCAGGGACAAATTGCCTTTGGTTCCTTTAAACATTTTGAATCAATTTAGAGGGAACACACTAATTGAAAGCATTTAAATAAAATGTTAATTTAAAAAAAAAAAAACACCAGTTGGGCTTTAAAATGTGTTTCCAGATATACTAGGAAAAGGCCACAGCAAAGAGGATTCAAATTCAATCCCAGAGCCTATTCCTCTGAGCCTTGTCCAGGTTTCACATGTCACTGTGAAATTATCAAATCGGGGGTTCTCTGGAGGACAATCTGCTTACATTTCTAAGCCTATCAAAACCGCTGCTTTATATAGACCTAGTTCTCACAGTAATGCACCACTTCTGTGCCCTCCTGTATAGAAAAAAAAAAAGCAAGGAAATAAAGGCTTGGGCAGAAAATCTGTCATGTGCCAAGGAATCCCTGGCGCTGCCAATGGCTTCCTGCTGTCTTTTATCTAGGTAGCAATATCAACTGTGTGCTCTGAGGGACTCCCTTGTCCCTCTAGTATTCGAATCTCTGGATTATTATGCAAATCTGCAGAAATGAATAAACCCCACGGAAGCAAGGGGCTTAATCCCTAGAATATTTATTTAAGATTGCAACCTACGGGAGATACTTTGGCATAAGAGCTTCAAGCAAAGTAAGCTATAAGTACATAAAAGCAAGTGGGGGGAGGGAACTGTCAAAAAGCCAAAAATATACCTTGTCATTAGAAAAATCTCACATGCACAGCATTCCTATCCAATATTCTGTTTATATCCCCTTTCCCCAACCCCTTTATCTGAACAGGCTGCTGAAGAGACTAGCAAAGCTGGGGGTGACATTTGGGAAGATGAGTCCTCAAGCAGGCATGTTTCCTGGAGACAAACAGGCAAAGTCCAGAGAGATCAGTTCTAAGACTCAAGAAGCACACAAGCCCCTCCAGACAACCTCAAAGCCTTACAGTGAGCACAGACTAAGAATGCAAAGACATTTGTCACAACACTAGGAGATCCTGCCAAAACATTTCAGGTAGGGATTTGGGTTCCAGAAAAGGCAAATTGAAGATAGCCATGCAAACGTGGCACCACTCAGTTTTACAGTTCATTAAAATACATTGTGATTTGATATTAATGCCCTAATTCTATCGCAACAGAGAGTTGGAAGTCAATGCTTTTTCTTTTCTTTTCCCTACCTTTCGTCACTTCTCTCTCCCCCCTTCCACTGCTCTTTTATTTATTTTTGTATTTTGCATTTTATAATACTTTATCATCTAATAAAATGTTTCAAAAAAATACATTCCTTAGCTGGGGTATTCCAACTCATCATAGAATACTAATGCAAAGTGAGGAACTTGTCACATTCCAGTTGTTATGTAAACTCAGGAGCTTCCACCAGCAGAGACAATGGTGAGGGCTACTTAGTGGTTTATTTTAGTAGCATTCTGCTTGGCCACATATTCCTCACCTATGCATAAGAGCAAAGGTTTTCCACCTTTAGCTGGGGGGATTCTGAGAACTGACATCCACACACCTTAAAGTTGACAAGATTGGAAAATGGGATTCTTTAGGCTAAGCACTGGAAGGAAAAGGGGATGTTGAAATGTGGATTTTAAAATAAACTGAATTGGCAGAGAAGGCAAAATTAACTGCTTTGATTAGAGACAATGGGTTAGACAAGTTTATAAGAGAGGGGAAGTCATTTGTGGTCTTTCTGCACTTTATATATAGTTGGTTAACAGAGGGATTTGACAATTAGTTTTATCGTTTACCTGTTGACTGTTTTTTTACATACATATATACATACATACGTACGTGTATGTATGTACCGTGTTTCTCCAACAATACGGCCTCCACCAATAGGAAGCCCCACCATGTTTTATTGGCATAACATCAAATTAAGCCCCTCCCCCCAAATTAAGCCCCATATTAAACATGCAAAATGGGGGGGGGG